ACCGTCCGCTCCCGCCGCCATGCATGGGTGGGTGCACACACCACACAGACGGGAACTTCTTGACGCCTTGCCTCGGGCGCCTCACCAATTCTTGACACCGTGCGTTTGATATCACTTAATCGCGGCGACGCGGCATGTTGTATCAGGGTGGCCTGTTTGATGAGTTTTAGATTCTCAAGAATCAGTTTTCGTCTCTAGTTTCTAAAATCTAGATTTTGAGAAAAACTAATGGGGTGTTTGGATCCTCCAGCTTTTAAAAATCTGGTTTCATTTATTGCTCACAGGGTTACAAAAAACTGGCAAAAACTGGATATCAACAGCTTCTTAGTTTCTAGGAACCTAACAAAAACTGACATAAAAAAGCGAACAAAAACTAGCCTGTTTGGATCCACCAATTTTTAAAAAACCAGATTCTTAGAAATTGGTGAGATCAAAGGGCCTTACTACCCCGGCCGTATATACTCTTTTGTATACTAATTAGGGCGGCGCTGTGCCTGCTGCGCGCGTTGTTGGTGCAAAAATGCTCAATCATGGCTCATGGCTGCCTCGCTAGCCTACCTCAAAACTGGCCGGCCGGTGCGCGCGCGCGACCGCGCGTACCCGGTAAATATAATGCGCGTGTCAGCGAGCAGGCAGCAATGGATGAGTGAGCATTGCCGCCCGGCCGAGCAAGCATCTGCATCTGCTGGCTACGCGCCGTGGTCCGTGGAGGAGGTCCTGCTCCTAGCCACTAGCCTCCTCTCCTCCTAGCTAGAACACGGGTGTCAGGGGGGAGTTTATGGCCGGGCCGCCGGAGCCCGGATCCCCGGCGCGGCCTCTCCCCGCTCGCTCGCGCGTTTGCAGGCCTGCAGTTTGCAGCAGCTCTCGCGTACGGCCGCCGCGTAGCCCGACGCGCGCTCGCCCTGCCCCTGACTTCGGCACGGCACGTTCAGGCGTACCCCACGTGCATGCCATGCCATCGTCTCGCGCTGGCCAGTGGCCATAGAGCTAGGTTAAGCTCCCAGTCGCATGTCATGGATGCGTGACTTGCTGGTCCGGTCCGACGGGCCGGTCGTGACTGACTCGTGAGGGAGACCGGCCGAAGCGGACGAGGACAGCTGGGCAGGGACGAAAATGTGAAATGGAAATTCATGAAAATGAACTCATGAACCCGGTGACAGGAAAGCTAGCGTGCCACGGCGCCAGTCGACAGCCGACACGTATCGCAGCCTATGGTGGTGTCTCACCTATGACGTACGGAGTATACTGGTCAGGTCCCTCTTCTCCTCTCTCATCTCTCTCTCTTCTGTACTGTTTTGGCACATTGACATGTCTCTCTCCTCCCTTTGGTGTGTGACTGTAGTCGATCCTTGCTGTATCACAAAAAGCTGCTCTTCGGACAAGGTTATGTAAACAATGGAGGAACAGTTGCCAAGGATCAAATCCTTAACAGGGAAAGAGAATAATTAAGGATGATTATGGAATAACCGTGTAGTAACTGCTACCTAGAATTACACTGGACGGAATGATTTGGATTGGATACCTTAACATTCAACCAGTCATGCCCAAAAATGCAACCCTCTGGTCAATGGCCCTGTTCTGTTGGCTGTATTTCGGTTGATTTCGGTTGATTTAATAGTGTTTCTGTGATGGAAAATAAGCTGAAATAAATATAAACTGGCTGAAAAGTAGATGAGCAGAACAAGTGAATATTTGTCACATTTGATTTTGGTGGTGCTCCGATCCATGCGTACCTTTGACCAATTCCATGTACAATATAATATATATTCTTATAGTTCTTAGACTTCATGAGATTTTACACGTATATTTGACTACAAATCACAATAACTTCCGTGTTTTTAAACTATAATATTAAAGGTAAGGCTAGCATTCGGACGTCCGGCCCTAGACCCGCGTCCAGACGTAGCGCCCACGCCCCGTGCCTGCATCGCATCCCACGCGCTCCGTCCTGTTCCCAACCAATGCCAGCGTCCGGAACCGCACCCCCGCGCCAATCCGCGTCTGCACGGCGGAATCGCGCCCGGCGCCCATGCCGCACCCGCACGGTGGAACCGCGCCCATCCCGCGTCCATGCCGCACCCGCACGGGCGAAACCGCGACCCTTGCCCACCTGGCCCGCATGCGGAGATGCACGCCGCAGAGGTCGTTTGAAGGCCTCAGGCGCTGGCACATGAACCATGGCGGCGCACCAACAACAGTAGGCAGATAGCGGCCTGCGCACAATGCAAGATCTACTTTTGAAACATCCATGAAACAATTGCAACATACGTCTAAAAATAGACCAAACACTTAAAATATGCGTGTATAGCCATTGCAACGTGTGCAACACTAGATTAACTTTTAAAACATTTGGATGAAACATTTAAAAACAACGTTTGAAACACCTGAAACATAGACTTACAACATGTGTATATTGCCTCTGCAACATATGCAATATCCCAGATCAATTTTTGCAACATTCAGATAAAACGCTTGAAACTTATGGGGATTTGGATTGCTTGCTGGCTCCTCATCGCAGCGCCCTTGGCCTTAGAACCGCCCGCCAATCCTAAATACTCATCGGCGGAACCGACTCGCCCATACCGCCCATGCGGTGGACCCAGACGGTGGGAATCATCCGCCTCCAGGGGATTGCAAGCTTGGGTCCAAGGGAACGTTGAGAGCAAACGGCCCAGCGGCATGTCTCCCCTTCCTGCCGCGATGTCTTCAGCCGCCGCGAAAGATGAAGTCCGAATCGGCGGCGACCTCCTCCTGGTGGCGCCGAGGTGGGGGCGGTATGGTGCCTGCCATGGCCGTGGCGGGCGAGGTGGATGGGGGCACACCGGTGGATAAGGTGAGGCGCGGGATGGTGGCGCGGCGCAGCCGTTGATGGGGTGTGGCATGGCAGATGGATGGGCACAGCTTGCGCGGGGACGGGCCGCGCGGTGCGGAAGGGGGTGCAGCGAGGCAGAGTGTGGCAGCGTGGATGCGTGGTGACGCCCGACAGACGGATGCGAGTGCGAGTGGGAAAGAGAACACCTGTTGGGCCTGCCTGCTGCACAAGCCCACGAAGACAGCGTCCGGATGGGGGCGGACACTCGTGGCCAGGTATTTATTAAAGTTACTTAAGTCTGCAGTTTTAAGGTTTGACCAAATTTTGTTCTAAATGACATGTTTTTTACCGGTGGAAGTAGAACGAGTGCATGTTTTCACCTCGTTCAACAATAAAAGAATAATAGAAAAGAGTTGTATTTGTCTACAAAAAGCTAGAGATCACATAAATATTCAAAGTGAATAGAAAATACAAAGAATCAGTTCTCACAAGAATTTAAAAGGTCATAATATATATTTAGATTTACTTTGAAGAAATTTTTTTCTCTCTAGGTTCATACTTGTATATTTTATATTTCACAAATCTTTTTTGTAATTAAGGCGCGTGCAAAACAAAGATAAACTACATTGTAAAGGTAAAACAATTGCCAATCATATATAAGCCAATGCTCTACGTTGAATATAGTAAAAGTACACGAATGGTTCGTGAACTTGTCCTTGGGTGTTATTCATGTCCTCAAACTCTCAAAATACATGAGTACTCCTTTGTTGACCAACCTCTTTGATTTATACAAGTTACTTGATCCTTGCAGATATGGAAATGGGACCAAAATAAGAATTTGGGATGTGATCCCCCATTTCTAAATGGGCCTTTTCAAATTTAATTTCATAAGTTCAGAAAGGTTAGATCTTTTACCATATTCGTTTAATACAGTTGCTGTATGATGTGCCGATACGAGGGAAACGAATTAGCAACAGGCCCGGTATATATGTCCTTTTTCAAAATTGAGCTTAATTAAGAATGCTGCCATGAACTAGCTGGTGGGAGGTCCAACCAAAAAGCCCAACGACTATAGATAGCAATGTTTTTACTAGCAAATCAAGTCGATCAGGGAGTCACTAAAGCAGGTTCTAACTCCTGTACCTAAGTTAGAATGCTGCCCTAAAATCAAACTGCCGAAAAAATGCCTGGATTCAAGCGAAGCCGAGTCGTCGCTAATAATGCCACGCCGCTACTCGATCATTCGCTATCTAAAGTTTCTCATCTCATATCATCATGTAATAGCAGCCGTCGTCCCATACTTGCCTACAGAAATTTGGCACAAAGGCGGGCGGCTCACAGCATATCATATACGCTACTGCAGGCAGCACACAAGTCGATCGTACTAGCAGCACCCAAGGGAAAATTGGCAATTGGGGTTATGGAATCAAACAGGGATCTATATTTTTGGGCAGCCTGCCTCCACCGGTCGGATCGGAGAAGGATTATTGGATCATATCGATCGGAGGCGCGGCGTGGTCCAAAGCGAAAGCAACGGCGCAGGGCTGGGAGGAGCCTGCTGGGACCCAGGTGAGGTGCATGGCGACCTGCATGGTTTGGGTTAGGCCTAGGAGGTTCTCTCTCCATGGGTAGCTCGCCCCTTTGGCCGCCGTTCTCGTGTATGCCTGCCCAGCCCATGCATCATGCATCGCGCCGTGTATATTTGTGGCGTGGGGGCCGCCGCATTGGAGCGCCCCCGCCGTTTCGGCACGGGCCTCCCAGTTAGGGTAAACCCGGGCAGTGGGTAACTTGGCCAGCGCCACTCCAAATTTACCCTCCTCTCCTTTAATTTAAAGCTAGCTGAGAGATAGAGTGCAGAGGGAGATAGATGGATGGATGGAGACGCGTGAAAAAGATGCGATGCGAGAGAAGAGACCGGCAGCGTGCTACAGGGCAGCCACACAGTGACCCTGCCCTTTTTCCCGGTTCTCTCCACTGATATTCCGCTCTTTTCCTGTCCTGCCCCGGCCGAGCCGGTTCATTATATCGTCGCGCACAATGCAAAGCTTAGCACTTGTGGCCGGCCTTGTTTTGTGGGGTGTCGCCTAGCTAGCGGATAAGCAGGCAGCAGAAGAGCAAGCAAGCACAGCGGCTGAGTGAGAGAGAGCAAGCAAGCTCGGAGGGGAGGACGGAGGAGAAGGAGATCGTCATGGGGAGGGGACGAGTTGAGCTGAAGCGGATCGAGAACAAGATCAACCGCCAGGTCACCTTCTCCAAGCGCCGCAACGGCCTGCTTAAGAAGGCCTACGAGCTCTCCGTGCTCTGCGACGCCGAGGTCGCGCTCATCATCTTCTCCAGCCGCGGCAAGCTCTACGAGTTCGGCAGCGCCGGGTAGGCGATCCGATGCATCAACACATGCACAGCCCGCAGCCACTAATTCATCTTAATTCTCAGCTCCTGCAAGCAGATCTGCTAGCAGCTGCCTTTTCCTTGACAAAGAGATCCGCTGATGATGCTTTATTTGCTCAATTGCTGCCTTTATTTTCTTTTTTTTATTATCTCCTGCTGTTGGCTTTGTGCCTTTTTTCCTTTCTCTGTGAATTCATGTTTTTTTAGCAGCAAGGAAGGAAAGCCAGTAGCCAAGCTACTAAAAAACTGTAGTTCCTGGCCTTGGCGGCGATTTGCAAAAAATGGGACTCGAAGGTCGTTTACAGATTTGATATTGGACCCATATTCATAAACACAGATTGACCCACTTGTCATCCATCCAAATATCATCGTAATCGAGAAATCAATCTTTCGAGTGTCATTTTTGCAATTTTTTCCTTGACGTGAGGCGGCATGTTATTTTATTCCTGCTATCCGGCTATCCGCGTGTGTATCTGTGCGTGCAGGGGCATGGCGGTGTTCATATAAACCGGGTGGGTGGATCCCTAACTAGCCCTACGCTTTGCCTCTTTCTTCCAGCTTCTCCGGGCACTTGAAGTAGTCGCCCCTCCTCTTTCCTCCATCTTCTCCGGGTATCTGGAGTGGCCATCTTTCGTGTGTTGGGGCGTGCGCGTGTCAGAGCTGAGACACGCCCGGTTGTTCGATTGCTGAGCTAATAGGGGATCGTCGTCGTTGGGTGGAAGAGGGTAGAGAGTTAACACCGATGTGGTCTGAGAGGGGAAAGGGTGGTATGTTCTTTCCGTTTTCATCCAGCTCCTGCTTATATGAAAATCCTGCTGCCCACAGACTTGTCTTGGCACTTTTTGCTCTGGCTCTACCTCCATCTTATTTCCTGATCTCTATCATCTCTTGCTCGATTATTGCTCCTTATATTGCTTCTTCTTTTCTCTTTTACGATTTCTTGTCGCTTTGCTCGGCAATACAAATTTAGTTTTTTTATTACGTTTGCTCCATACAAGATTTAGATCTGCTTGAGATTTCAGGAGGCCTCAACATATTAAGTTGAAAACTCGAAGCATGATGAAAATCTTTATGTTCCCCCCTTGTCTTTTCACCTTCCTCCCTTGTTTCTCATTGTTTTTGTGTCCCTTTCATTTCCTCCCTTGTCTAGAGAGATATTATTCTTTGTTTGTTCTTAAGGTATATACGGAAGAGTGTTTCTTTTTTGCTCTTTTTCTTTGTTCTCATTTTATGCGTATTCATCAGTACTACTCAGCCATGAACGGTCACTCTTCTGCCTTTATTGATAGTGTATGTTGCTTGCGCGCACTTCGTTCATGTATTTTTCGCACTTCTTGCTTGGTCCTCCGCTGCTGCTTAAAGACCTTTTTGCCCTACCTATTTCTTCATGTGACGGATCTAGACTAATCAAACGAAGTTATTTCTTTCTTATGTTTGTACTTCCAAAAACAAATTGACACGGAATGCAACTACGCATGATCATTTTTTTTCTTTTTTGAAGTGTTAGTCTGTTCAATTCATGTGTAACTTGAATTAAGAAATTGTTTCCTTTTGTTGAGAATAATAATATATATGGTCCAAACTTACAATTTGCTCTGGGGTTGGATACGTTGTTCAGACTTCGAACCTCTCCACTGAACATTGCATCTTACCAATTTGCTATGATATATATGGGGGAGATATCTTATATTATGTGTCTTTAATTTGTGTGATGTATGGATCTATTTTATGATCGAAGTATATGAGCATTGTTTTGCAGTAGGAAAGTGATCGGATTGCCTCGAGTTTAATTTCTTGAAAAAATGTTTTAGTTTAATGAAGAAAGTGCTAAAATGGTTCACCACCAATTTACTAGGGTTCTATTGCATCATAGAACTAGTCTGCTTTCATCAAGGTAATTACCATGATTTTGCAGAATCGTTTGTGCATGGTGGTGCTCTCCTAACTCCCACACTATAAATTGCCAATGAAGAGGTTAATGTTCCTTAAAAAAAGATGTTAATGTTCAAACAATAAATTTAAGTCCAACGGGATCTAGTAAAGTTTCCATCTTGTACCACTACATATTATAATATGCATGCATGCTTTATAAATTTTGTTCTTTTTATATATTAGTTTCATTAAAAAACATGGATTTAGTAATTAGATGGCATCTGTGGGGCAACACAAGTTATTTGCTTTACATATATTTAGAATTGGTTTTAGTGTTGCAAATAAATTTTCATGCAGTATAAGCACAAGACTCAAAAATAAAAAGCTATATCTACGTCAAAGGAGCTAAAGAGCCATAGCTATGTCACAAAGTATTCATGTAGTTCTTGTAATTCTTATAGGGCATATATGTAGCATAAGTGCATAACTATATGATACTCATGAATTTTCACAAAGTATTTTCAACTTAGTTGTTCTATAGATGGAAGCTCCCAAATAATGTTCTACAAACTACAAAGAGTTCATTCCCATCTATCATGTCACGAGAGCACACCCTCCTATGCTAATGTGGTTCACTAATAAGCCAAATCCACATGAAATCAGACTTCTTTTATATAAGAGGGAAGAAGGAATATAATACTGTTAGTAAATAGCTATATATGTATGTATAAACAGGGCAACCCTTGCATAAACCAATACATTCCTCAGCAACATCTTTGCCATTTTAGATTCTATAGAAGTCATTTCAGCATATTTTGTAGTTTCCTCAAACAAGTCCTTTTACATATAACTTTCTGTGCAGCATAACTAAAACATTAGAAAGGTATCAACATTGCTGCTACAATGCTCAAGATTCCAATGGTGCACTCTCTGAAACTCAGGTATGGCATCAAATGTAGCTTATGATAACCTCTTCATTAAAATTATTTCTCCTAAAAATTAAATATGTTCCCTCTTTATATATTTGGGTGAGTATTTATATTTAGTCTGCTACCATATACAACCATAAACAAGAGCGAGAAGAGTGTATACCAATTATCGATCTTATTATGATGGTGAACTAGATTGGAGCATAAAAGTTTTTGTTGTGTTCACAGTGCTTAGCTATCATTCAACTTTTCACATATTTATAATTTACTGACAAGGTAACCATTTCAAATGAAAATAATTTTTAATGCTTTCTTGGTACAACCATAGACAAGCAAAGAGAGAATTTATTAGTGCTGTGAAACTAAATTCATTTTCAGAACCGAAGTTATTGGTGTTTTTTTTTCTTTGTTCCAATTGATCCAACAATATATGTTTCATTCATTGATCTAGCTAGCTTAGATTAAAAAAAATTGTATCTGCTAAGTGCTATACATATACAATTCCAGAAAGAGCTAGCGTGTGTTCTATATTTTTCGTCTGTTGACATGACATACAAGTCGGTAGGTATTAGTAGTAAAGAAGCTTCTACTACACTGTGATCTTAGGCAGTACTATTTCTAGAATTTAGTGAAATTTCTACAGCACAGACCGACCCCCCCCCCCCCCTCTCTATATTTGACATTGGAAGCGGCTATTCTTGCTGTTTTTCAATGGTAGCTGGGTACTGTGTGTAATAAGGTCTGTTCCAATGTAGGCCAAGGATAAGTAACAATAGAATGCCGCAGTGAATTTTCGGCAACCTAAAAAGGCTTGTTTTTTGTGTGTACTAGACATTTTTTAAAGGTCGTCCCTCATTGTGTTCTCGAATGCATTTAAACCTGCTAATAAGAACTCACCGTTACCATGCAATTGAACTAATGAGGTTGTATATAATTATTCTGTTTAGAGCTGGTACCAAGAAATGTCAAAACTAAGGGCAAAATTTGAGGCCTTGCAGCGCACTCAGAGGTTTGTTTGTCATACTTCACATGTGATAATATAGTATAATATCTCTACAATGATATTAATTTATTCTAAAGTATCTAATGCAAATACAGATTTTCTACAAATATATTTGAATACTGTACATGTTAAGTGACCACAAAATTGACTTAATACTTTTATGTTATATAACTTGGAAAAGCAGGCACTTGCTTGGGGAGGACCTTGGCCCACTGAGTGTGAAGGAATTGCAGCAGCTAGAGAAACAACTAGAATGTGCTTTGTCACAGGCAAGACAGAGAAAGGTTCATATCCCAGTCTTCCCTTATGTTATGAAAAGAACCCTTCTGTTTCAGAGCTAACAATACATAGGATTCGTGCAATCATAGAACTCATATACAAGCTAAAGGAACATGATGTCTGGCACTGCAATGGAATGCGCTTGTAGTATATGCCCACCTAGCCACATACTAGTGGTAGAAATTAATGACTTACATTAACTTTGTGTAAGATAGCAATAATCAATGTATTTCGTTTTTTATGGTGGTGGATAATTCATTAAATAGCAATGCTTCTTCCAAGTATTTGAAAGAAACTGCAGGCAAGGAGATTAAACACTTTAATTAGGTTATAATATGGGTCAACAACAAATGGGTCATTAAAACTGATCTTATTTTATTAGCTTTAAAATGTCAGGACATGTATGAAGTCGTACAATATCTTTTGTAATTACCAATGTTAGCTTTCGTACGAAAGGTACAATAGGATAACCTATATAATATAAGCATGCTAGCCACAATAAAGCAAGCGCATCCCAGCATTTTTGTTGCCATGCCTGTGAAAATTTTACCTTAAAATATACTCCCACATTTATTTATTCTGCTATATCTTTATTTCCTGTGAAAGTGAGTAAAAAATGAAAATAATACCATTAATATCTAATGAATAGAAAGAGATCGAAGTACTATATACTAGGAGCTCATATACTAGATGAAATTATTAGCAGAACTCGGTAGTCCCAATGACGATTTAACATATGTGTCAAAACTTCAATTGACATATATAGATTTGATCTGATACCTTTCGAATGGTAGAGCAAACAATAGTCTGTATCCTCTCCTATTCCAATACAAACGCATAGGGCTAATCGCCAACCATATATAGCCCGTACAATATGAGCCAAAAGAGCATACCACCAGAAGAAACCTTACAGGGAAAAAAAATAGCTTCACAATATGAAAATCGGCTTTGTTGATTTAATCAGTTTGCTTATAAATAAAAAAGGTAAATATACATACTTCTCTATTTATTTTTACGACTAATTATTCCTCAATGGCAGACACAACTTATGATGGAGCAAGTGGAAGAGCTTCGCAGAAAGGTACGTATTTTATACTAGACTTTGTTTACAATAGTACTGTAATACTCTACAGCATAGTAGGTTGATACACTGTTGCCAGCTCGGGCATGTACTCTATCTTAAGCACAGTAGGGATGATCCTATGCATGTTCTTTAGCTGAAAAATTATATGTGTGTGTAGAACTGTGTAGATATATAGGTATACATAGGTGTCTTCTTGTTCTCTTTTGTACACGAGATTCAGCCGTTCATCCTAATGTCTAAAATATTCGCCATATTCTGATGGACTGCATGCATGCGCAGGAGCGTCACCTGGGAGAAATGAACAGGCAACTCAAACACAAGGTCCTTATCTGTTTCCTATAGTGGAATGACAGCTATATATAAATTAGAGCTGTATAAACTCCTATAATATTCGTTTGATCTTTTTTTGTTTTTAACATGGACAGTGTTTCTTTGTTTACTATGTTATATGCTGTCCAATTCTACAGCTTGAAGCTGAAGGTTCTAGCAACTACAGAACCTTGCAGCATGACGCATGGCCGGCTCCCGGCGGCACCATCGTGGAGCATGACGGCGCCACCTATCATGTGCATCCACCTGCTCACTCAGTTGCTATAGACTGTGAACCCACTCTGCAAATCGGGTATAATACCTGGTCAATCGATCGTAATTCAAGAAACACAAATGCAGCTGCTGGTGCTCACTGATCACTAATAAAACTGATCATTGCAGTGTACTAACAGAACAAAACTGATTCTGTTTTCAGGTACCCTCATCACCAGTTTCTGCCTTCTGAGGCAGCCAATAATATTCCAAGGAGCGCCCCTGGAGGCGAGAATAGCAACTTCATGCTGGGATGGGTTCTTTGAGTTCTTCTGTAGCTCAATCCATCCATCAGATGGTGGGATGTTGAAACAAATAAAAAGGCATTCAGTGCTGTATATGCATGCATATCCATGCTCAAGTGCTTGATTTGCCACGACGTGGGATATCTTTTAAATTATATCGTTCTGGTGTGTAATGACTAAATTAAGAACGGCACCTTTATTCTATGTGGTTGTGGTGTGGCACTTCTATGTTTTTCATTTGGACCATGAATCTTGTAATTTGTAAAAATACATCTATGCTGCCGATGCATAGAATCCAAAATTATCTGTACTGGTACTTATTATGCTGATGTAAGATTCAGTACCATTATTATGGATCATTTTTCTGCTTTATTATCTATGAAAGATTCAGTACCATTATTATGCAAGATTCAGTACCATTATTATGGATCATTTTATTGTAATTTGAGTATACCTATGGTTTTTAATTTCTATGACATATCTTCAACTTTTTTTTTGCGAAGACACATCTTCAACTTTCTTTGTCATGTAACAGAAAATTTAAAGTGCAATGCTATCATCGCCAGAAGCTCAGAACCTCGTTTCAAGTATAGACAGTCAAGTTGTCCAATGATGACAATGACATATCACTATGTCAGAGGCTGAGCAGCTGGTTTCTTTCACGAATATGTGTGGGCCGGGTGCGAATAATTAATTGTGCTGTTTTTCGTGATGGAATCTAATCTTGCCAGAATCGGTTGTCAGTTGGAATGTCGTTTGCACTCATTAATTGGTTTACAGGATTTCTGTAGATTGCAAGAGTTGCGTGGTTGCATTATCTTCAGCTTGTGCAGTTGTGTGGTTGCATTATCTTCAGCTTGTGCAGGAGTTTAGTGTCTGAACAGGGCCATGCATGTGCTTGTCCATCAGGCCATATCGCTAAGATTCATTATTGGTGGTTCATATGGGCCGAAGCACTTTGCTTTTGCATCACACTACTACATGATGAGAATGGTACAAAGAGTTGCTTACCAGTCAATTATTCTGTCGCAGGATTGTATTTTTGCAATGCAATGGCTATTTTTGGACGTCTACTATGCTTCCCTTTTTTTTTGCAGGTATAAGCTATAATGGTTAGTATTTGACATGCTTGATTACTGATTTGGTGTGCTAATGGGGCCAATAATGTTTTCTTTGACGTAAAAAAGAATTTTTTTGGATATTATTGCGGTAAAAAAATGCCTTTGAATTTTCTAGTAAGCGCCATTCAATTTAGTGTGGAATATGACAACTAGCTAGCTTCAGAACCTTCGCCGTTGCAATTTGACGAAGAACGACAAAAAGGTCTGATCAGATTATTAACAAGTGGTTCCCAACACGAGACGATCATCAGCATTCAAGTTGGTTGGTAAATTATTCAATACCAGTTCCGCCAACTCGTTGCTTACCATGTTGCACAAAAAGTTGATGAACTAATTTAATTTTTTATGATCGAAAAGAGAGAGAACTTCGTGTACAATGAATATGGCTAGCTGTTAGTAGCACTATCAAACATTTAGCTGCCGTATACTCAATCCTTTAACAACAGTATTAGCTAGTATTATCTTTACAAATATCAACTGTCAGGCGCTGGATGGAGCCAATCAACTGCCAATTAAGCTGCCATTGATTAGCAGTTGGCTGATGGCAGAGCAGCTGTTATACCACCCGGCGGCCCGGTCGCCGTCGCTAACCTGTCCGCGCCATTCCGGTGGCACCACCACCGGCCCACCGCGATGGGCCGCGACTGCGACCGCGGCCGCGGCCTGGCCATAAAAAAGACAAAACTGCCCTCCACCAAGACGGTCCTGTCCTCACCAAACGCGCGTGAGACGGGTGGCGAGGCGGCCCAGCCCGAGCAGCCCGGCCCGGCCCCGCGGGCGCGGCAGGAGGTCGGACCGGCACAGCGGGCACGTCGCCCGGCCTAGGTCGATCCAGCGGTCGACGCAGGCCCGGTGGAAGGCGTGCGCGCAGTTGCCCAGCCGCCGCACCTCGTCCGTCGCCTCCAGCGTCTCCAGGCACACGATGCAAGCCGGCGCGTCCTCGCCGCCGCCTTCGTGGTCGCCGCACTGGCACGCCGCGTGGGTGCCGGTCGGGGACGACGACGACGGCTGCTGCTCGGCCAGGAGCTGGGCGTACTCCACGGCGGGGAGCCGGCTCTTCACCTCCTCGGGCTGGTGGTGGGCGTCCGCCGCCGAGCCGCGCGCGGCGGCGTCGTGCGGGAAGCGGCACAGCCCTACGACGGCGAGCATCAGCAGGACGGCGTCCCTGATGGCGCTGAGCAGCTTGCAGAAGACGATGACCGGCTTGGGGATGGGGAGGCAGTAGCACACCAGCGGGAACCCCATGATCGATCGAGTTGGACCGACCGGCCGAACGAATGAAGCAGAGAGCTCGCTCTTCTCCGGCCGAGACCAAAGGCAGAGAGAGTTGTTGTCTAGCACGAAAGCAGGGTGGTGGTCTCTTCTTTGTGGATAGACAGGCTCGCGGGACGCGGGACGAACCAACGAGGCAACGAGCGCCAAGGGCGGAGGGGAGAGGATATGGTGGACAAGTCACAGCGAGCTCTGAAGCGGCCCGCTGGTTATATATAGAGGGGGAGGCGGAGAGAGCAGCCGGTCCGGGCAGGCGAACTGCGAAACGCTGGTTGTTTTCACGTGGCGTAGTTGGTGGCAGTGGGATGGTGCGATTCGGCCGGTGAGGAAGGTGCGTGCACCTGCCGTGCCAGCTGCCTGTGCCTGTACGGGGGTTGAACGGGCCTGCGCGGGCGGCCCGTGGGTTGTGGTGTGGAACGTGACGACCAGGCTCGCGCTGTCAACGAGGATGGTACCGCCCGCCAGGGGAACTAGCGTGCCGATCGAGGTAAAGTACGCAGTACGTGCAAGTCCATGGGCGGGCGTGGTGGAACATGCGAGGGATCGGACGGGGAACCAGATCAACCCCGCGTTGGGGATGTTCGCCTTGGACTGGACAGGTGAGCACCGTCTGCGTCGGTCCGGCGCTTTCGTCAGCCGGACGTGCAGGTAGAATATTCGATCGTTAGAGGTGATGCTTGCATTGTTTACCACGCAGCTCAGTTCCGCACATTTTCAGCGTGATAAACGTGTGACGAAAGTAAGGCGCGCTACTTCCTCAAAAAAAAGAAAGTAACGCGCGCTGAGAACGACGTTGCGCGTGTTTTACCTCGGCGACATTGAAGTAGGAATCTGTAGTACTCCAGGGCTTTTAATTAATTTGTGTGATCGTGTCACACGTACTCATGCACATGGCAACGTTTGCTCAGTGTTAAGAGAGAGTTTTATGGGCCTGTTTGTTTCCCATGACGAGGGATGGCCCGTGTGGTCGAGTAGAGAGCTAGAGTCTAGAGACAGGCTTAGCGATGGTGTAACTGCACATGTTTGGTTTCCATGGCAGAAGCAATTCAGTTTATGGGAAACCCCACTCACACCACGAACGGAAATACAGAAAAACAGCTACAGTCAATAGGAGCAGCATACATAGGCGAGGGTGTATCAATGCCCGTATGTACCACTCCTCTCGTTCGTGCCCCGTAGTGCTACTGTGCTATATGTTGCGTTCCGAGTTTCCGACGGACGAACTAATCCGCAAAGCCCTTTGTTTGTGATGAGACACTCCAACGAGTGGTCGGTGCACCGTCGGCACGCCAGATGCACGTGCGTAGCCACTGATCGCTTGGCGCGTACCCTGGCAAAGCCAAACTATCCGGTAAGCCATCGGGCCGTCACGATGGGGCGCACGTCGTTTCCAGTGGCGCGCGCGGGCACATGGATTCGGTTAGCTGAGCGGCCCCTTTCGCGGCGTCTCTCGAGAAGGCTGCGCACCGGCCGGCGGCGTCAGCCATGTTAACCCGTGTCATCATTAAGTTCCGGCCCGTCGAACGCGTAGCCTCTGTGCAAGTGCGTGCACGTTTGGAGTCGGCTGCTGCCGGCAGTTGGTGTCGGAAACCAAAGGCAAATTGGGTGTTCCGAGTCTCGAATATCTCCGGGCTGGAAGAGTTTGGCAGCGGCGCCGCGCCGCGCCCTTGGATCCAGACTCCAAACCGGTAAGAGTAGCAATCTGCAATCAATCAATGAGCCAAGATACGGTCTTGGCGCCGAATGTCTAGCAGGAGTATGAAGTAATTGGATCGGGTCATGCTTATCCATGTGGGAATGAGACCGAGTATGAGCGCAATTGGATCGGGGCATGCTTATCCATGAGCGAATCAGACCGTAGAAGCAAGACGGGCATCACGACACGGAAGAAGGTTCGACGTGAACCCGTGTCCTGTGAGGGGGGTTGTTCTTTTTTTTTTGGATGCGAGAAAACTCGGAATGGATAAACGGACGCGGTCAGGCCCACGGTGCTCAGCAGATGGCAATGCCTCGAGGGTGTTTAGTTTCCAATGTTTAGCATTAATTTAGAGTATTAAATATAGATTAATTATAAAACTAAATGCATAGATTAAGACTAATTTATGAGACGAATCTATTAAACATAATTATTCTATGATTTGACAACGTGTTGCTACAGTAAATATGTGCTCATGGCGGATCAATTAGGTTTAATAAATTGGTCTCGTGGATTACTGACGACTTCTCAAATTTGTTTTATTATTACTATCCGAATACTCGATGTGACACCCAATGTGACACATCTTAAACTTTAGTCCCTACATCCAAACACACCCGAAGAGGTGTTTCGAAACGGGCATGTGGTTATTCTGAACTCAAGTACAAGATATAACAATATAATTCTAGCTTTATATTGCTTAAATCATCTTAAGTCTAACAATAATGATACGTCACGGGTGTTCGTTCCATGACTGTCGACAGAATATCGTCTGCAGTCCTCCGAGGGGTATCCCACGAAGATAGATTGATCGGCAGAGGAGCGTGAGATCAAGAACAAGAAGGCAACAGAGACACACGAGTTAGACAGATTCAGACCGTCAGTATGATGTAATACCCTACTTATGTGGTCTGTTGGTTTGTATTAGCTAT